ATATCCTATGATATCTATCTATATATATATATATATTTATATGTATATATGATCTCCATATCAAATTTCACGAGCTCCTGGGATTTTGTGATTTTTAGGAAATATTGGATATCAAGGTCAAGATGCAATATTTGGTGCAGTGTACGCGCGCAAGGGTCGCACGGAGAAAAAAAAACAGCGTCATGGTTTGCACGGGTTTGCACTGGATCAGCCTTCCATAAATGGAACTGGTCCAATTAATCGTTCAGAAAAATGGAAACGGTCGGAAACGGTTGGAAAAAGGAGCTCGTGAAATTTGATATGGATATCCATATGATAAAATTGACAAAGCATAGTGTCCCCAGTGACTCAGCTTCGTGGCCTCCTCCATGACCAAGGACAGCAGCTCTGGCGCCAAATGTCCAGGCCGAGGGTTTCGAGGCGCCCTGGTGGAGGCTACGCGATGCTCAGCGAGTATCACAAGAAGTGTACAGTTTCGCCACAACATCGAAAACTATATCTATAGTCTATAGGTAATATGAGTAATACATGTGAAGAATCGTGAAGATATGTCATATAATTGTCATATATATATATATAATAATCATGTCATATATGTAATTTAGCTCTTTAACTTGACTTTCCAGGAAACATTCATACTATTGATGTCTGGCACTGGGTGCTCGACTCAGGCTGGCAAGGTGTTGGTGCCTTGGTTGTGGATCAAAACTCTGGTACCTAGTGAACCTCAATAGTAATGGGTTTTGACCCACCCTCATATGATTATATATACACGGGTAAATGGATCATGAAGGAAATGACGACATCAACCAGCAAACATCATCCTATGGTTCTTTGCTGGGCTGAGACCAGGATCTATGCTGACTTTTGCGCACTTTCATCAGAAATGTCCCAAATATTGCAATGTCCGAGTCCATCACTGATTCTGCTGGCACTGCAACGGACGCGGCGCGGCTACCTGCTGTGTATTCTCCAGCTGGTCGCAGGTGGGCTTAAGTAACCTTACATAATTTTTGCTGTTCCAACTGCTATTGGTCAGATATCCATGAAACACCAATCAACATCATTGAGTATATGTTCATCATATCCAGAGAGTGCTAGGATGGATCGCACCTGGTTGGATTCCCGCCATCTCCTGCCGTTGCCGTTGCTGGCAGAAAATCATCAAAACAAAAATCAACACCCATCAAGAAAAGTCAGAAATACCAACAGTTTCTAACACATCATGAACCAAGATCAATGTATCAAATGAATCGAATCAAAGACTGTAGGCCCAGAGCTTCAAAGAAGTTGGGGAATCTCTTGACTGTGACCCTTGCCCCTAAAACCATGGCGGCCACGACCTCATGCTGCACTTCCATAGCTGCTTGTAGCAGATCAGCTGCTACTGTTGCCTGTTGAGCCTGGCAAAGAAAGGACTGTCGAGCTTGGAGTATCGAAGACAATGGATTGAAACTGCAGCTTGTCACCAGAGACTTGAAGGTCTCAAGGGCCTCAAACTTCACAATTTCACACTTGGCAGAATTAATGGAAACATTTCGAAACCAAATGCTGGCCTCACTCTCAGCAGTCAAATGCTTCCAAGCAATGCTTTCAGCCAGCCTGTTACGCCGCTGGCATTTATGCCTTCACCCCAGTCTAGAAGGGTCGATAAGCAATTCAAAAAAAACATTGGATTATGTATCTGTATATATAATTCAGTATGGTTCAGGACTAAAACAACGACCCACAGCCGTGGTTCTGGAGGTCTTAAGCTTCGACCCAGAGTATTTCTTTCTACCCATGAATATTAAAACTCAAACTCCAATGACGGAAAGGAAGGACTGTTTTTCTGGAAAGCACGCGCAAATTAGTTGAAACATGGCGTAGGTAGTGCAAAGCAAACATCACGTTGTTTCTTTCTGTGACGTGCGACAATTTCAAGCTTTTGTGTATCCACACATATAACTTGGTATAACTTGGTCGTATGTAAGGCAGTCGCCTCTTGGCAGAAGCAGTCTGGTGCATCCTCAGCCATCAAACATCATCAAACATCACCGCTGGCTTCCCCATTTCGGTCACGGCCGGCCACCCAATAAGCTTCCAACAATGTGGCCAGGTTCTGCTCAGAAACTGCCAGGCGTTCACAGAGCTCCACCTGCCACTGCAGATTCAAGAATCCCTTGTCGTGCCAGTCTCTGAAAATATGGGCAAATATTCTCAAATATTCAACCATTTTCAAAGGTCATTATCTTTGTTATAAACACATCCGAACACAGCTGTCACTTTCTATTCAATAGCCTGGAAAACGTCATCCAGTTCTCAGACTTCAAAGCCGTGAGTACCACAGAATTCCCATCCCCAAATTGGGTATATGCAAAATATGGCAAAATCAACTTTGGGAAAATATACGAACATACATGAACATATATGGGACAATGAAATGATGCTCATATAGAAGTGCTGACTGGTATTGACCCATACCCCACATTTGTGGAATCCAACCAGTCCTGGGTTCCCCAAACCCCAGGAGACTTGGCGGCCATCAGCTCCCGTTCGCGCTGCTGAAGAGCTTCCAGCTCAGCCCGCGTGGCTGCCAGTACCAGACCAGGGAAGGGACCCGCTTCGGCATCGGGTTCACTGGGTTCACCTAGGGGGGAGGGATTGGGGAGCTGCGCATCTACATCAACTGCTAATTAAATCTAATTAACATTAATTAACTATATTATATATATATAATTATATATGAATCTACATGGCAATGAATATACCCACAACATGTTGGGAGGGCAGCAATTCTAATCTTGCAATACCTGACGAGACCGGATAAGAATTACCACAATTTGTTGTGTACATTTTTTTCACCAGTCCATGGGATCTTCAGCGAGCAACTTTTCGCACTCCCTGGGCTTTGAGGATGTCTCTGCGGCCGATCATCCTGCCAAACCATCGAGGTGACCTGCGCTGCGACCGGCTGGATGTGACCTGCGAGGTCCTGAAAGGTTGCATCATTTGAGCGGGGGCCAGAACTAAGGACCAGGATACTTACTAAGGGTCACAGAGGCGGTCATGAGCAAAAGTTATTGATTTAGATCATTCGCTGTTGCGTGATTTTGGAGCATGTCTAACAATGGCTGTTGATTTGGAGATCCATTTCCATTCATCTCCACAGAGTTAACAATAGGGGCACTTCATGGTCAGCAGTCTGCTGTCCACTGTGTCGTCTTCAAAGTGCGGAAGGAATTTCCCTCAGACTTGGTTTTTGCACTGTTGCGCGCCTTCCGCTTCTGCAGATTCTGGTCATCTCTTTGGATCATTAGATCAAAGTTATATTCAATGGTAGGTTTCAAGGCCAGGCTGGACCACCCCAAGTAGATGTTTCAACACATTGGCGCAAAATTGAAATGCACCACTCCAGGGATGGATTGAGTCTCTGCATGCCCTCGGCCCCTTTTGGCAATTTTTGGTTATCGCTACGTTATCGATTCGGTTATCGATAAATTCATCTGGTAAAATCAGGAAACATGTGAATATTGTTTCTCAAGCACAGTCGCTGCAAGTAGTTCACCATATCGCTTTCCATGTTTTGGGCAACATTTTCCCCGATATGACCTCGCATGTAAATGTTTCTGCATGAACCTTTTAGGTTTTTACTCATTTCAACATGTTTAACGGGTTCAACTTGTTGGCAACATCAGGTTCATCTATAACCAAATTGTTGGAGCGGAATTATGTCAATGGACAACTTGCACAACTTCAAAGACCAGGGTCCTGCAGTTGGATCTGCCGTAGCTCCTTCAAAGATTGGAGAAGCAGCACTCGCCTTTGAAGTACTTGAAGCTTTGCCTAGAAGGGGTGGGTGGACCCTTCATCTGTTTGCACCAGTTCTATCACCAGTTCTATCCCGAGATCTTCCCAAGTACATCACACATGTCACACTAAAAAAAAGTCCTGCCTGTGAGCCTGAGTCTGATAAAAATAGATTCGCCAATGTTCATCTCATGGATGTACCTGATGAATGCCTTCGAAATGAAACAACTACACCCAGGGACCATTCATTGCCCTATGGCGCCCTGCCTCTCTCTCCAACTTTTGGGCTCGCAGCCACCTTTCCACTGTCGCTCCCTCATCTGTTGTTAGGGCCTCAGCCTCTGCCTTGAATCTGTCACCTTCAGCATCAAAGTAAGCCCTTTGAGCATCAGCAAAATCTCTCTGGAGCTTCAACAAGCTGTCGTATCTTTGGCTGATGCTCCAAAGTTGATCCTGGGGGGTGGACATCTTTGACCACATTTGACACCAACCAAAACTAGCACTAGTCAACCACTAGTAGGAGCGTTCCAAATACTGTACAATACATAGATGATATATTAGGTCAATAGTACTACCAGTACCCTAAAATGGATGGCTTCATATTTTAATACCAAATACCTATATTTGTGGGAGAACTCGTACTCCTTGATTTTTCACCAGTGCCCACATACTATGCCCATCATCACCGGAGATTTTTGTCTTCCCCGCCTTTGCTTCAGCATCGCTCAGCACTTCAGGATGCCGCTGCTGCTCTCCACCGGGAATGCTGCTGTGCAAGCGATCGGACGGAGCACGGTATGCACGGTGGATATCCATGGCCAGGAATGAAGCATGAGATCGATGTTACCATATATGTAGATATTATACATACAGTATATATCATATACATATACTGTATACATACAGTATCAAATAATAGTTCACATATTGTTACATATTGCAGCTTACAAAGTGGTGTACCCCACAAATGAGTGGGAAAAAAACAACTGACAGTTGAAACATGTTGAAACCTTGCAAGCGACCTAAAAGTCCAGCCGGGAGATGCGTGATTCCTTCACCATCGCCAGATGAAGCCAGCAGTTCTTGCGTCTGGCTGATTCCAGCTTGAAGCCACGATGCCCACAGCTCTGTTCATTGGACAAATAGATCTGGACATATCTGGACGCACTATTGATGCAACATGATGCAACAATGTGTAGCATGTTCTCGTATTTTTCAGATTTTTTCAGTGTCACACTCAAACGTGTTAGGCCCGTTAGGCAACTTGGCAACAGATTTGCCAGAGCAAAATCTGTAGCCACGGGATGCCACGGGTGTCTTGCACATCTGGTAACGGTAAACACCATCCACATCCATCCACTAACCGCAGCAAAGCTCTTGGAGAACTTTTGCTGCAAGCGGACCGTTTTGGACAGGCCGCTGTGAATAGGCCATGCTTTGTGGCTCAGTCGGCAAGCCGGTGCTGAAGTCAGTCTGCACCTGCCAAAGTCAAAAGTCTGACAAAAAAAAATCCTGCTACGTAATCCAACTGCAAGGAATCTTCAGGAGTATGACAACAAAAAAACAATGCTTCTCTTGTGGTTCCATGGGCCCCTTACTCACAACCACACCATACCATAGAAACTGCCACACGGACCCTGCGATCCGCCTTCAGGATTCAACTTCCAGTCGCTCACGCGCCCAGCAGGATCTGCATGAGCCTCGCGACTTCAAAATTGAATAAGGGAAACTATCTAAAAAACAACAATGCAACAGACTGAACTTCAAAACATCTCGGAAGACAGGATGCATCGGATGCATGTGGGTCTCAGTTTCTTGGAAGCTTCGATACTTGAAGATCAAGGGCTGACTCAAGGGCCACACTTTCATCACTTTCAGAAATTCGATCAAAGGCACCGCAACTTCAGCTGGCCCCAGCATGGTGCAATCATCGAGCACCTCCCGCAACCTCGGTGGCCCAATATGGCCCAGCTGCAACAAATTCGTAATGTCATCAGGCAAGCTTTCAGCCAAGCAGCTTGCGCACAGATGCTCCAGCAAACTCTGTCTCCTAACAACAAAACTTTGCTGCTGTCAGACTCGCTATTGAAGCGATTGATGGCTATTGATGGCTTGATTTGCCTGAGGCGTGACCAGTGTTTTGATTGACAATCAACATGTCAGGACTAGGACCTGCAACCGTCCCAGTTCCCCAAGGATACAGCAGTTCTGTGGCGTGACGGACGCACGCGGCTTTTTTCGAGCCCTGCGGGTGTGAGACTTCTTCAAGCAATTCTGACAGATTCAATTCCCAAGTAAGTAAGACTTCAAGAAACAAAAACTTACACTTAAGTCACTAGAAGTAGTACTAGGGATGTCATACTCGAATCGTGAACGATGTGCTCACTTTGGGTTTGCCATCAGGAGACTTCATTTACAGTAAATGAAACCACTGGGGAACAGCGAGTTCCGCAGACTCAACTTCTCTCCACACCATGTTGCTTTGCTGGCAGAATCTTAGATGAATTTGGAGAATTTGATCTATTCACACGAACAAATTGCAAGATTAAGTCAGCTAAGCATTTGTTTCTTCCGCTCCTCAATTTTGCAGAGCATATCGACACATATGGACAAGCACCGACGCAGCCATGCCATTGATAATGAAGTAGCATGGGATGGTGTATTTGATGAGCCCTGCGTCCTCCAAGGATTTCCCTGCAGAGGCCCGATATGTCGAGGCATAGAGTTCTCTTAGAACCAACCAAATGAAGGCCAGTAGGCCTCCCACTCGTCCATTCACCAAGAAGCTGAAGAGCAAGGTGGAGACCTCCCAGCAAAAAGGGACAGGGAAACACCATGAAGCCATTGGGGCAAAAATGCTGGGATTGACGTATCGTCGAAACATATTATATAATATACAGTATATATACATTAATCATTACAATATATCATAATACTATAGATAGTGTTCAAGGCGACATCCAATCCTATTTTCAACGCTGCGCTCTGAAGACTGGTTGTTCAAAGCAATGACACTGTAGAGTGTCGTTGCAACGGAGGGGTTTCAGTGGACCGACGCCCTCCACAAGCAAAGCCCTTACCAAAGGTTACCACCACTTTGCTGCAGAAGACAAAACGTACGCTGAAGACCCAGTGAAAACAACACAAGAGCAAGCCATCTTGGGTGCGGCCCCCCAGGCCCATGCCTAACCGTAACCTGCACCCAGACACCAGTGTCCCCATTGGGTGGTGGCAAGGGGAAAGTGGAGGTTGAAACAGAGGAAATGCTGCGGATTGGACATAGATGCCATTCACACTATCACTACGGAGGACCACAAGCTAGTGTTCAAGGCGACATCCAATCCTATTTTCAACGCTGCGCTCTGAAGACTGGTTGTTCAAAGCAATGACACTGTAGAGTGTCGTTGCAACGGAGGGGTTTCAGTGGACCGACGCCCTCCACAAGCAAAGCCCTTACCAAAGGTTACCACCACTTTGCTGCAGAAGACAAAACGTACGCTGAAGACCCAGTGAAAACAACACAAGAGCAAGCCATCTTGGGTGCGGCCCCCCAGGCCCATGCCTAACCGTAACCTGCACCCAGACACCGGTGTCCACCTCCCCCAAAGCTAGCAGACTTTCTGCTGACAAAAAGGTAGCATTCTCAAGCATTGACTCAGGGAGAAGTGAGATGGCCTGAAAGAAGAACAACTTTAGAGTCGAGGGGGGCAAGAAGAGGGGGGCAGAAAACGAAATTTAGAATTCAAACGCGAATCCAGGACGCGCTCGCTTTGCGAGGCGGAGAAGGCGCTGTGTGACACGCGACTCCAGGTGGATTTCCGTTAGCTGTGCAAGAGCATCAGTGAGATAGATCCGGGCAGTCTTAATACTATTCCATCTTCCAACGAAGCAAATCCGAGAAAGATCATTAGAAGATCGGAAAGCGTGCGTGGCCCCACCACGTCGGAGGGAATACCACTGGTACCCTTCTGGAAAGTCTAACTCACTGAGCAAAGTCTTAAGTCGGAGTCTCATCACCCCGGGAGAGACTGTTCGGAGAAAATCGCCAGGGGCCAAAGGACTCAGATAGTTAGCCAGGGCAACCACTAACCATCGGTCTTCGATGACAAGGGACTCATGGGCCCCCACTCTTTGGCCACTTTTTGTGAGCGGGAGAGACCATACAGCGCGAGTCTTGCTGCTATTCCAAGTGAAGTCACCCTTCTTGGCCATAAACAACTCTCCTGACCTTGCAAACCTGTCAAAACCCAGCAGGAGAAGAACTGCCAGATCGGGCCATCCTTTCTCAAAAGCAGCTTGCCCAAGCGCATAAACCATGACTGGCAGGAAAGGTAAAGCCCTAGCAGGTAATTCTGCACGTGTCCAACTACCATGCAACCTCCAAGCTCCCACCAAACTTCGTTTACATTGCGGAACAAAATGTCCCAAGCCAGATAAACAGTCACTGGCAAAAGACTTTGGGTCACCATTATGCCACAAAGCCTCAATAAACTCACACACCCTACCATCCAGACATGAAAAACTGGAGGGATAAGGATATCCATGTTCTTGCAGAAAGGAAAGGAAACGTGAAACAGCATCTAGATACCGGTCCCTAGTGTTTTTCGCCACAACTAAGTCCTTAAGACATCCCAGCGCCTGCCTGTCTCTTTTTCTCTCGACTTGCCCACGGCGGCCTAAGACTTGTTGTCTAGGCATGGCGTCTACGCTTTGCCCACCGGCTGGGTCCGTCAGCCGGATTCCACTTGCTCTTAATCCATCCCAGGCAAAGTCGAAAGTGGGCAGCCAGGCAGACTGCGCTGATGCGGCGTAGGGGACCTTGTAGTGCACGAGCTGAGCTGCGTCCCTTTGAGAGACAGCTCACGGCCACCTGGTTGTCAACCAGCGTGATGAGACGTTGTCCGTGACACTTCTGGTCTCTGCCCTGCCGGCGAAGCACATCCAGGACCGCTACCAGTTCCAAAACATTGATGTGTTGACCAGGTTCCTTCCAAGAGTATGACATCAAGACCTTCCAGACCCAGTGACTTGGGTCAATGCTCTGGCGGCACAATTCCCCCACTGAGTAGGGCATTCCCAGATCAATTCGGATCTCTGCGCTGCGATGCGTGCCATTGCGAGCCAAAAGGTAGCTGAGCATCTCTTCGTCTGTAAGCCAGCCCTGAGGGTCGATGAATGACCGCAGAGGAGAAGCTGGAGATGGCAAGACCCGCTCGAGCAGGCTCACCACCCCAGGTACCCCTGCAGCCACACTCGCAAACCTCACTTTCCAAGGTTTGTCCTCCTGCTGGACTTTTGCCTCTTTGTCTTTCCAAACTTCCCACAACATGAGGCTGATGTCCTTGTTGGCACATTGTTCAGGTGTTAACACCAGTCCAACCAGGAGCCGTGCAACCACCATGGCCGAGAAAGAGTTGCCAATCATCTGCCCTTTGGTGTCACTACTGAGCCTGGTCTTGGTCGTCAGATGCGACGATTGAAAGCCCATCATCCGCAGTTGCTCTTCAACTGACGGGCGACGCGGACCATTTTTGTCGATGACCAGGTTTCGACCTTCATATTGGTAGGGCTGTAAGCGATAGCTGTCTCCTTTCCATCGCTTCAAAGCTTTCTCAGAGGCTTGGTCATAGCCTGCTGGGTCTTCTGGCGGTTCTCGACGTGCGATTGGCCTGGTGAACGTTGCAAACGGCTCCTCAGGGTCTGCCATCTTCGTTGCACCTTCAGCCAGAAACCAGGTCAAAGGGGGCCTCTCTGTGTCGATTTTGATTTCCTTCACCTGATAGGAATGCCCCCGTAGCGTCCGCCTGGCACCCAGCTTAAGATCTTCTCCTTCCACCAGCTTCATACCGGCGAGCCAGTAGAGACGTGGCCTGCGACAACGCCCAATCTGAGCGGCTTCCACAAAGTAGGGTGTGTACCCTATCTTTTTGCTTTGTGCTTCATAGTCCGCATCATCCATGACCACGTTCTCGAAAAGCTCTACCACTTTCCAAGGTGGCAAGTTCAACTTGGTCGAGCAACCTTGTAGCCATCCTCGAATTGCCAGCATATTGTCCAGCAATTTGCTGGTGGCGCCTTCTGCTCCTTGACGCCTCGGGTTCAAAATCGAGTGATTCACACACGGCCACCCCCCTCCAATGATCACGGTTGTGGCTCGAGGGAATCTCCGGCGCCATTCCAATACCTGCTCCTCAGTAACGGATTCAATCCTTTGAACCCAAATCACATGGCGACAATGCTGCTTGTAGACCTTGCTGCACTCTGCCGAGCTGTCAATTGCCACCACTCCGGCCGGCTCAAAGCCCAGGAGGTCAAGCGCCTGCTTCAGCCCGCCTATGCCGGCGAAACACTCAATGACCACAGCACTTTCCGTGGCGGCTCCCTCATGCCCATCTCGCTCGTGGGCAAGGCTGTGAAGCCGCGCGTTTCCCCACGGACTGAGTGCTGTGGTAGCACATGCGCCCCCTCCATCGGGACTAGCGTCCGTAGCATAGACCTGGCCTGACACCTTCATCTTCAAATCCATCCAGTGCATGGGGAGTGAGCAGCTAAGAAGTAAAAGCTCATCCCGGCTTTTCTCCGTCATCATGCGAGCCCGTGGCCCATTCATTTCCACATACAGTCGATCAAACAGCACTGCCAGCTGCCGGTTGTACTGCACTGAGTGCATATTCTTCGACACCACAGACTGCACCCAAGCTTGTCCAACTGATGGCTCCTTCTGCTGCCTTCTTGGGATCTCTCCCCACCGTCAGTTCATCCATAGCTTCTCTCAGCTGAAGCTGCTCATCGGTTGGCCTTCCCTCAAACAGTCCTTTGTCTGTCCTCCATACGATCTTCAACTGGTCAAAATTGTCCACATAGAATGAGTAAAAGGAACGAGGGGTTGACAGCGGCTCCAAAGGACTGGGCTCTCCCATCCGGATGACCTGGTTAGAGGCAAGCCCGGCCACCTTCGCGATGTTCTCGAAACCATCCTGGATAAAGTCAACCACGTTGTTCCATCCCATGGGCGCCGATTTCACCCTGGGAAATCCACTCCCAGCCTTTCCATCTTTGAAAGAGGCACCGCTGGCTTTTCGACTCAAGCTGAAGAAGCTGCGCCAGGCATAGCCCGGCCGATAGATGTGAAAGCAGTGTTTTTGATCTTCTGCCGCGCACACGATGATTTCATCATCATGGAGATAAAGATTCCCCCACAGAGGTGCGTAACCCATCTTCTCGGACGCCCTCACTGGCATCCGACGCTGAAAGGAGTTCCCAGGAATCATGTTGATAATTAACCTCAGGGTCCTCAGCCAGGTTCCATCATCCTTCAGCACCCAACTTTTGTGAACCCCAAAAGCACCATTCCGAACTGCTTCACCCTGGTACTTCAACGTTTCTTCCACCTCTCTTTCTAGCATGCCTGCATCCACCAGGTGGCTCACAATCTTGTCCCATTCTTCTTGACTCGTCACCTGAACCGTGGCCGCAACACGGGGCGCGATCAATTCCTCATCAGGAATTCGAAGCAATGAAGGTGCCTCCACATATTCCTTGACCTTCTCACTCACAACCTCCGAGAGAGGAATCCTGGCCGCTTCTGGCCGCAACACGGGGCGCGATCAATTCCTCATCAGGAATTCGAAGCAATGAAGGTGCCTCCACATATTCCTTGACCTTCTCACTCACAACCTCCGAGAGAGGAATCCTGGCCGCTTCTCCAGGGCCCGGCGTGGTAGGCAAAATTGCCTCCAACGTCAATGGATAGGACTTCCCCACATTCGCCCCGGTATACATGTCTCCCAAGCTTTCTGAACATTTCTCCCAACAATCAGCTTTGATGGCATCCTCTGTATCTTCTTCAAGCCATTTCTCACTCATCTTCTGCAAGCGCTTGAGCGCTTTGGTTTGGCCTTCAGATGGCTGGCAAGAGTGCAGCATACACTCTGACAGCATTCTTCCTCCAGCGCCATTGCAATAGAGATAGTTGATTACAAGGCATTGCAACCATGTCCAAATCTTCCCCGCATGTTTCATAGCCTCCTTGTTCAACTTTTCCCAGGTAGCGCCCGTCACATCTAGACGTCCTCTGAGACCTTCTTTCACTGCAGCTTCGAAGGCACTCTCCTCCTCTGTCAACGGGGGCATGGGCAACGGGAGCAGCTCTTTGGAGAGTCGATGAAAGTTCTCCAGAGCGCAGCACGGCAGGGCTCGACAAAGATTCCCTACCTCACCAGGGCGGTCTTCGATTCCTATCTTCAAGACCACTCCTACAAGGCTCACCGACAACTCCTTGCTGAACCCTCGTTGCAGCATCTGCCTCCATGCTAACGGCGTGAGGTGCCCTCGCTGAACCAGTCCGAATTCTCGGATCAGCCACTCAGCGGTGTCTACCTCTCGAGAGTTGATGTACAACTTCTGCCCTGCCAGGGACAAGCGAACCTTCTCCTTATCCAGCTGGCTCACAAACTCAGGATGGTAAATTGACGCTCCAAATTCCTCGTGTGGGTTACCCACATAAACTCCATCTTCTTTACGCCACTCAACTTCAGCAGCGCGCACTTCAATGCCCTCAATCACCTTTAGAAGTCGACCTTCCCCCGACCGAGGGTCAACCCCAGTCGGAGAGCTGTCAACTCCCAACAGGCGACAGATGGCTTCTGACCCAGACGGGTTAGCTTCCTCCTCCAAAAAGGAACAGCTTCTTTTCAGCTGCTCCTTCACCATGTCAGGAGGGTCGCCAGCCACATCAGCGATCATCTCGAAGAAGTCCTGTTCAACTTGTATCCAATTTTTGCTCTTTCCAAGAGCATACTTGCGCAGGCGATACAGAGCCACCACCTCCGGATCCTGCAAAAGGTCCTTCACCTTTTGCCGGGTAGCATCGGAAACTCCATACTCCTTGAGCGCTCTTTCCATGGCCGGGTACTCCAACACATTCAACACCGATGGATCACTCACCATCGCTTCCCCTTCTTTCCTTTTCCTCGGCCTTTCTTCCCCTTCCCGGGGTTCTGACCCCCGCCGTTTTCGGGAGGTCCTCCATCCTTGTTCTCGACCTCCTTCTTGTCCACGCCTCCTGTGGCGCCGGGGCTCGGATACCAGGGAGTCCTTCGCTTCGGCCACTGGTCTCGCTGAAGCCGCAGGTCGCTCTTGTGCTCCTGCTGCGCGGCTTTCAGTTCCTGTCTGAACCAAGCCCGCTGTTCCTCTTCCGGAACTATCAACTCCAGCAGATTCGCCTGGCTCCACTGACCCTGAGCGATAAACAGTTCGATGCTTTTCATCCTCTGGACTGCCACGTCCAATGCCCGCAGAGGATCGTTGCTGGCCATCAAGTCCACCAGCGTTGCCAATGTCCGAAGTTCCCGAAGGTTCCTCAAGCCGATTGCCGACTCCGGGTTCCGAACCATGTAGATCTGGCTCAAATAGGCACGGGCCACCGGTGGCATCTCCAGCTCCTGAGCTGCCGTTCCCCCGCCGGTGGAGCGATTGAGGAGCTCCTGGAAGCGCCGAAGCGTCAGGTCCGCCAGAGCTCCTGGCTTCTCCTGGTGCAGTCGGTGCAACCGGTCGACCCCCTGCGGCAGGGCGGCTAACTGAAAAAGCGATCCCGTTGACGAAGTAGAAGTCTCATCATCTTCGGAATCACTGCTATGAGAGCTGGCCCCTTTGGCTCGTTCTCTCCTGGCCTTGTGCTTTTTCTCTGACAACTTGCGCTTCTTCTTCTTCTTTTTCTTATCTGATGTATCCCCTTTCAACTTCAGCGCGCTCTGCGCGGGCAAAGCAGCTTTTCTCTTGTTCAACACCTCTCGCAGTCCCTCATCTCTGGTCTCCTTCGCGGACTTCTTGGGCCCTTTCTTCCTTGCATCACCGTCCTCCTCATCTTCCCGAGGGCGCTTCTCTGTGGCCCTTCCTCCAGGAGCAAGAGCTCGCGCAAGCCCTGCTATCCCAGGCTCGCCTGTCTGCACATCCTCTGGCCCTCTCCCACGGACGACTTCCTCACCCCCCGGGATCGGAGGAGCAAGGGCCTCGCCCGCAGGAGCGCCTGCAGGATGCAGACCTTCCAATTTCTTCGCTTCCTCCTTTTTCTCAGCCGTCATCCAGGGCAAATCTTGGTATGAGTCACCCGGCAAGACGCGGAATACATCCACGTGGATTGGGTCGCGATACAAAGTCACCTCTTGACATCGGTGCGCCGCCACTTCACAGAAGTGAAAAGGAAGAACCTTGGTGGGGTAATGGTTCTGTACCCACCATTCATAGTATCCATCCTCAATCGCCAGAAACCAGCCTCGCCAAGTTTGGCCCTTTCCAGCATCATCTTCAATTGCCCTATGCTGGAGCTGCACCACTCCACGGCCTTGTTGACGTCCCAGATCATCATAGAGGCTAACCTCCACAATTGCCTGAGACGCCAAACCCAGCCAGTGCTCCTCTTTAGCTTTCCTCCCTGTCTTTCTCCATGGCTCAGGTCCGGCCATCCCAGCACTTGAGACTCTTCACCCAGTACGGACCGGGTTCCGATTCTCTAATGCCAGGTGACCATTCCTTTGCCAGGTCACCTGTCCTCCTTGAAACAGAGGAAATGCTGCGGATTGGACATAGATGCCATTCACACTATCACTACGGAGGACCACAAGCTATTACATGATACTACTGAACTTATGAATATGTTATGAAAGGCAAAGCAGGTTTGACTAACTTCTTGCGCCAAGAGACCATATAGGAGGCCATCTGTTCCACCTGATTCATCTGTGCCCGGCTTGCCAAGTGAACATCCTCTGGCTCGCTGGCCGGATAGTCTTTGTACATCTTGGCACTGAGATTGTGCTTGATCTTCGCTTTGCCCACACCCATGACATCCAGCACACCTCAGCAAATCCCTTCAGATCCAAGGTCAATCGGGATCTCTCAAAGCTTAGCTTGAAGTAATAGTAAGTAATTACCCATAGGATCCATGTATGTTATATGTGGTAACATTTACCATCAATATACCCCAAATGTTAGCATATATACCCTAACCTACATGGATCCTATGGGGTTATAGCCCCTTTTTCGAGAGCGTCTGGAAGAAGTGAAGTCAATTGAGTCAGCTGTGGTTCCAGCTGAGTTCTGGGCTGTAGGACATGACCCACAGGGATAGCACCATGAAGGGCAAGAACATTTCCGCAATGATGTCCTCTGGAAGAGATCCAGGTTTCCGACCCGTCAGAAAAGACAGAGCTGAACCCAACACGAAGTACCTGGCAAAGCTGCAGGAAACTAAACACCAAAAGAATGCAAACAATACAGCCGATCTCAAAACCTAGACCCTTCATCCTTCATGCTTCTGTGTTCACTTTAACAGCACACATATTAATTAATATTAATTATAACACGCTAATTTTGTTTTGTATAATTTTGTTATATCATCCCACATGGTTTTCCGATCCCCCTCCGGGCACATGAAGACAATCGCACCCACTGGAGGAGGTGGAGCCATTGCTGGATGCCACTGGATGCCACTGGAGCCACGGAGACAGCTGCATCGGTTGATAGGTTCTTTTTTCTGTTCCATAGTTGTTTTCATGGTCCAAAGATTAACATAATTTACCATATGTTAACTGTTAACATGTTGCTTCAACATATTTCTCGACCTGAAAAAGACTTTGTCAAAGGGATTCTAGTGAATCTTCAGGGGATAATTCGTGCTGTGCCACAGTGCCACATGAATCAAAACACTTTGGAGGTGCCAGTCCTCAATGCCCTGCCAGAAGAAGACATACAAAGGTATGCGCCTGCAGCTGACGTGTCCACTACCACAAGCGTGAAAGGTGCAGCCCAGTTTTTAACACCCAAATTTCAAGAACACATGAAGTCTAGTAAAGGTTGAACATAAATGGAATACATGCTTAGGATATCTTAGGATGTTTTAAAAACTTAGGACCCCAGAAAATTTCGAAAACCTGGTGAAATTCAGCACGTTGCAAATGTATTTCAGGGCAGCACGTCACAGACCAACGGCTCGCAATCCCAGGCAATTGGCCAATGTCAGCACCTTTGGGGATCCCCTGGGGTGATTCAGAGAGAACCCCTGGTTTTCGAATGGGAGAAACGTGGAGAAACCAGGGGTTTCTGCATTTTTTTTCCAACCAATCCATTGAGTAATCCAAGCTCGGAAGCGTCACCAGATTGAACTACGCAGGGTATCCACCCAGGGTTGAACATCAGTCTCACCGCCTGACCCATCAAATTTGGGGAATCACGACTAACAATCATGGGTTTTCGCGTAGTTTGAAAAATCTGCAAACCATAATGGGACATTCACCAATCCCTGTCCACAGTATGAAAAATAGACGGTTGATTTTTCCGGGCAAAATAACATGAAATAAACCACTTTCGGGGCACGTTGGGCAGAGTTGGATATAACTGCTAAAGTATGCTAAAGTGCTAAAACAATCTACTTTGAGGGATTTGGAGAATCTCCAATGTTGGCCCAAACATACCGATGGCTGATTTAGCTGAGGTGGAGATTTTGTGCACAGGCAGTGAACAAATTTTGTCAAATTCCTCTGAGCGTGCGACGAAGAAAAATCCATGTTGGATAACTCTTCGCTAAGACCTGCAAAGGCAGGAGGAACGATTCACATCCCAAAATTCAAAGCACCGCTACAATATTCAAGGATTGCTCCTCCCTGCATGGATTTAAACCATGAAACATGAGTACGACATGCAAGTGACGGAGTCCCTCAAAATTGCCCAAGCAGTGGCATGGCTACATCATCCGGTAGTCTTCCCAAAACAGATGATCATGTTCAAAATGGATCAAAATTGTATGTGGAAATCCTCAAATGGTGTCCACACTAAAGGGTTCTTACGGTAGGTGTTAACGGCCAGGGTTAGATGAGGGTACGCTTTCTAGGGAACGGCATTTTCACTTTAAATTCATTTTTTTCGCATCAAGTTCCTTTGTGAGATGTCTATGTGCATTTCGACTGCGCAGGCTCTCGCAAAATGTGAGTACAAGTACCAGTTTTGGCTCTTCCGAGCGTCTCGTTTTACTAGCGCGCCGTGCTAGTGTTTTGAGCTATGTCACATGTCCATTTCGTGTGGCAAGCGTGGCACTTTCGCAACATCTTGAGGTCTAAAACGTCGTTTTGCATGACAGGTACGGGACATTGGGCACTTTTTCATCGGTGTGGCAGGCATGGCACTTTCTGACGTTGGCAGGCGTTGGTCAAAATGAAGGTGGTTTTGGATGTCATTTTTCGTGGCAGGCGCAGTGTTTGCTGAACTTTGATGGCGTTTTGAAACGCAATGTTCATTTTCATGTTGGCAAAAAAATTGTGCATGTTTATGCAGTGTTTTGTGAAAATCTAACATGTGTTCGCGCAACCTTCTCGTGACTTTAAGCATGTTGGATCGCTCTCCTTGTGGCCACGTGCTGATTTTAGTTGCTTCTCTTACATCCTGGCAAAGAGATCTCATGAGTTCTGTGGAAGGTCCTTCTACGACGATCTTGAACGAGTTTCATGGTGCAAAATAAGAGGTCCATAAAAAAGACAATCTTGACCAAGGTCCTGTTACTTGATTAGTTGACGTCCTTGTGAGAAGATGTCGTGAAGATCCTGATGAGAGCCTGTAAGAGGGCAATACATGATCTTGTACAGGTCCTTATAAGAAGATCTTGTGAAGATCATGCTGCCATCCTCTAACTTGCATTATCTTGCACAGGTCTGTATGAGAAGATCTTGTGGAGATCCGGGTCAAATCCTCTCTATAAGGTCCTTGCATGATCCTGAACTAACAGAAGATCCTGTGGAGATCCTGGTGAGGTCCTCTCTAGGAGGTCCTTGCATGAAGATCTTGCACATGCCATGTGTTAGAGGTGCTTGGATGAAAGCTTTTGTGGGAAGCTGTCGGGAGGTTCTTGTATCAAGATCTTGTAAGATCTTCTACGATTTTGCGAGATTTTTTGTAGGGGTCCTGGCGTGAAGACCTTGGCCAAGGTCTTTGCAATTCCTTGTGAGAAGATCTTGTGCAGATCCTAGTGAAATGCTGTCAGAGGCCTCAGCATGATCTCGTACAGGTCCTTGTGAGAAGATCCAGGAGATCCTCTTGAAATCCTTGAATAGGTCCTTGAATTAAATTCGTGAAGGTGCTCTGCGTGGGTGCTTGTATCTTCTTCTGGGATGCTCGTAGGCAGTTCTTGTATGAAGCTTCTAAGATCCTCCATATATAGAAGGCCCTTCTTTGACGATCTTTTGTTTTTCTCTTAGATGTCTTGCTATGAGGTTCTGGTATGAGGTCCTGATGAGTAGACATATAGCGTTGCTTCTGTGCCAAAACAAGTTCCTGCTGCTGCAGTTACGATAATGTTTAACCTGATCTGTTACTGTTCCGTAGCAGCTACTGTTGCTTGTATCTGGTACATTGACTTCCTACCCCCCACACTGTTTGGGGTCTCTTGCCAGTGTATTTTTTCCCATTCACCCAGAACAATATAGATGCTAGTACAATGAAATTACAATCATTCATATTTGGAGGTCTTCTAAATAATGGTACCCCCAAATCATCCCAATTTTCGGTTAGATTTTCCATCATTATAAACTATAGTTTTATATCCAGCTATTGGGGTACCCCCATTTCAGGAAACCCAGCGCCTCGAACTCACTGCGAATTGCCGCGCAGGCGGCGGACCAGGGAGCCCACAACTCCAGGACAACCCACCTGCGGACAAAGCTATCCGAAAGCCATGGAAGCCAAAAGACAAAGACGATACAATGTAGTATATATATATATCAACATATATCATATTTCAACATTTATAATATACTGTATACTTATACAATATATTATGTAGGATATTTACATAGTATATGGGCATAGTAAGATATTATGGGATATACAACCAACAATAGGAACTAGGATTACACCCCATTTGATGGCCATCAGCCAGAGGCTTTTCGGGGTATCCTACTTTGAGACAAACCAACTTGGGGATTCTCTAGGGTTAACAATCTATGTCGCTGGTTTCAACCCATCAGTAGTTACAATCATCCCAGGGATGGAAAAGATGGAAAAGGTGGCATGTGTTTGAAATTTAAATAATTATGAAGCCACCCAGCCAGTGATTCATCTGAGGTCTGATGAGTGAAGACTCCCCGTAACTGACATTCTTTCAACACTTTCAACAATCGGTTCATCAGCAGTTTTGCCAGTTCAAGGTAGCACCTGCTTCCCAGGCCAGCCAGGATGTAGTCAAGTTCCTGGCAAAGAATAATGAATTTGGTTCATGATGAATCATGGGAAATCAAGACAGGAACCTCCCACTCTTTGGCTGCTGACGGGTAAACCATGGCAAGTTTCCCCTTTGAACCCAGTGACTTGCGGACTTGTGCGAGAGGGCCTCCTCGCTATGCACCACAGTCACCAGGCCAGGAAAAGGCAAGGTATGACCAGGATCCTTCAGCGTGGTCGACTGATCCAACTGAACCAGCTGGGACACCAATGTGAGATTCCAGCGCACCTATCCACATGACTTCTGAAGATTTGATGGATCTACTGTGATCTACTGGGATCTGAGAAGTGAAGGCCTTCGGCTACGGCGACGTCAACACACGGTGCACTTGCTCCTTGCTGCTCTCACCAAAGGATGCTCTCCTGCGTTGAAACGCAGGAAGTTTGAGTCCAAACTGCTATCAAAGACTGAGAAACCTTGAAGCAATAAAACCACAGTCAAATCAGTCAAATCAATATTTTTCTCAGTGCAATATGAATAAAGGAGGAACAACGGAGCAACAGCAACAAACCATCTAATTTAAGTAATTATTCATATCAAATCCAACATTCCGGTCTGTGCCACAGAAGCAACGGCAGCTCTCTTGCGTGGACGAGGATATCACCCATGGTGAGATCCGGATTTCTCATCCTCTTCCGAAGAACTTGCAGCACTGCGAAACATCAAATGCGTGCGCAGACATCAACAATTAAGATGCTGTCTCATCCCTGTTGACATCTAAAATACCTAGCATTTGAAATAGCCCCCCTGTAAGTAGCCCCCCTGCCATGTCCCCAGTCATCCTTGCAGGCCGTTCATTGGGTTCCTCAGCTGCAGCTGGCATTTGATACCAATTTCCGGATATGTTGTATGAGGATAGGGGTAGAAATCATGGTCTCTTGATGATGCTTTAACAATCTTTAACATATACTTTGACTTCAGAGTCGAGAAATCAGTAATGATCAGTACCAATTTGGATCAATTTTGTACCTTTGATATCATTTGTACTATTTCAACAAGACAAGGTACAACCATGCCGAGTCCAAGGTTCCTGTTCCGTTGGAGTGTGAGGGAATTTGAACATCACCTAGGCAGGCTGTGACATTGGAAGACACGGACAATGGTGTAATGTGGTAAATATAAATTCTAAATCTAGAGTGACTGAATTGCTATCTATTGATATCTTAGAATGTGATTTTTATAAACATTTTATCATGCAAGCAACACTGCAATTGTCACAGAAGATTGAGGATCGAAATATTCGGAATGGACAACTGGGGATCCTCACCACAGCGCGCCAGGGCAACAGCACATGTAGCAACGTTGGATGTGTTAATGTGGTCGTCCCATGGCAGTTTTATGCCGATTTTCAGACCCAGCATGACCCAGCATGACCCAGCTATGTTCAGTCACATTTTGCTCAAGAGCCTTGCTGCGGTTTTGTGTTGCTGGTGCTGATGGTGCTGCTCCTGTAAAGCTCCAATCTACAGCTATTTCTGCATAACAACGATGTTTTGGTTGTTCCCCCATGTCCATGCACAATGAAATGACTGAAACTTCCGTGCTTCGCCGCTGGCAAGAGCTGATCGCCACTCAACAGCTCATTTCACAGCTCCACAAAGAGATCCAAATGCCAGCAGCCCTTGTACGAACGAAACTCGGCGTATATGGCGTATATACTTCCGCTGGTAGTATCCCAAATCTTCTGAGGTTTGGCTTATCCCATTGCCTTCGTTGACAGGCTGGGCTTGCTATGCTTGCTCAAGCTGGGGCACGGCTTGCTGCTGTTCCACTCGTTGGCCATAAAATACCTCAGGATTTCACGTTGGGACCCGAAAGACACCAGATGAATCCAGCGGAAAGGGTTCTGTGTCCTGACATATGTTTCATCGGGGATGGCGACCAGACCCTTGTTTTGGAAACAATCGTAGGACCATTGAAACCAACACTGGAGTGGTGCGAAACTGTGCAAAATCAAAGGGACACCATATGACACGCGGGCGGGGCCTGTGTTCCTCGATCAGGCTATTTCGATTGTCCTCGAAAATGGTTTGAAGCTTGAGATGCCGCGTTCCTGCACTGTGGAAACAGTGACGGTCCATACTTAATATGAATTTCACGCAATGAGTCGAAAATTGGGCAGTACAGTAACCAAAAAACCTTCTGTCACTGGTTGAAAAAGGGATTAGATGCAAACAATCTCTATGAAACCGGTCAGCTATAAGCTGAAACAGAATCATCGATCACCGGTCTGGTGCACAACAAAAATATGACACAAAAACTGTTTACGACACGGTTTCACCAATTGCAGCACCTTCTTCTGCTCCAGCAGCCAGGTATACCTGCAGTGTAGATGAGTGGCAGTTTCATGCGATAATATGTGATAATATAATATAGTATATGATTCTGATGTTCGCCAATGCTCGCCAAATTGAAGTTCTGAGGTTTCATTAACAGAATCGGAAACCAACACATATTCAACAAGAAACCATCCCATAGATAGTCCACTCATTGCACTTTGCACAGGTTTGCATGTGACCCTTGGCATTGACCCAGTGACACCGCCTTCATCTCAAGACCAGGTTGAGTTGATTTTTTGATGCAGCTGATAAACAATCCATAGTCCGCATGAATCCGCATGATCTTGTTTCAGACTGGATTGATAGATTGGCAATGGCATCTCAATGTAACAACATTGAGTGCACAATGCGCGGAATTGCATGGTGTGAGAGCTGGAAAGTCTGCATAGTGGCAGCATGTGGCAACTCTCTTTGGATCAGAACAAGTTCCTTACCCTAAACTCCGCACTTCCACATGGAGAAGTTGATACGGCCCTTTTTGGAATGCCTACTGGTTGGTTTCAAGACCTTCCAGGAAAAGAACACACACAGTCAGTTGGGATGATTGATTATATCCCCCAATATATTTATAAATAGCATATAATCCCATAATCATCAGCTCCAATCACAATCCCATAACAGTGTTAGAAAGAGCGGGCCGGGCCTTGCACACAAAGTGAGACATCTTGAATTGAAAACATACCAATGGAGTCTGGCGACACGTTGCTTGGGCAGCACCAATGGAGGGTTCAGAAACAGGCATGGGTGTGTCTAAAAGTGTTGTATATACCCCACATATTAAAACCACATGAAATGTTCACTGTTCACTGTATAAGAATATCAATATTCTACTATTTGACAAGAAAGTACAGTACAAAGTAGTGTGTTATTGAGCCAATGTGTTGAACATAGATTGGGCTGCTTTCCAGGTCAGTCCTTATCATTGTACATTTCCGCTTAAATTCTCCATCATAGCGTGACACAATCACCAAATATATCTTCCAATCAACCCAGAGGTCAAGATGTTACCCTCCAGTAAATTAGCATAGACATGCATAGACTAGATCTTGACATTCCATGGAATTCCATCCTTTCCCTACAAAAAACCTCTATAAGTGGTGAAGATCCACACAATTTTGTCCATTGTTTCCCTATGTAAAAGAAATCAAAAGAATCTATACATGGTGAAGTTCCAGATAATTTTCTCCATTTTCAGAGGTTCAGTCCATTCCTTGATGGCCGTTGGCCTGTTCGCCGGGGTTCAGCTGAAAAGGTCCTTCAATGGTTTCAGTGGTGACCAGTTCGGAGACCTGACACCGGCCATCCGAAGCCCACACGAAGGTGGTGTAGATGGGGCATCCAACAAGAACGATCCAGTGATATATTGTTGATTAATGTTATAGTATAGTTATATGATGGTATATGGATCAAAGAGATGACAGCTTTTAAGAAAATGACAGCCACTGCTGCAAACTTGATGCACCAGGTTTGGAATGATATTGGATTCCTCACAGAAATCGAATCAAAACAGAAGGGAGACGGACTAACATAGGCAGCATAGGCCAGTTTGGCTGGGCCCATCTTGTTAAATTTACTAATCTCCAAGAGTAATAGGAGTGGCCACTGGGACGTACAGGAATCGCAGTACTAGCGGAGCCACTGCGCACTTCACCCGTTTTCCAGTTTGCATGGACAATGAAATCCTGCATGCTGGTGATCGTCACGGTAACTTTGTGATCCTTTGTGAGTTTGTGAGTGTTCCAACGAATTATGAACATGTCCCTGCTACAGAATCCTTCGTGTATCATTCATCATCTTCATCACAATCTCACATGGGCTGAGCTCATGCGAAGTGAGAACGGGAAGGGCTTCCCTCGAAGAGCGTCAAACCCCGACACACTTGGCCAAGGGCATCCACCTGACAGGAAGACGAACTGTTGGTGTAACATAGACTGCATAAAAAAACCATCACGGCAAAGCATCCTACAATTATAGACTTATATAAATGGCAATATAATGCATATATGATTAATTATGATTTTATATATTTTTATATGTATAGATATAGTAACAACATATGACACTGACACGGTCCAACACATTGGATCATCAGGGCCTCCTTCCTGAGATCCGCCAGCTCAACCTGGCAACTCCTCCGAGGGTGAAAAAAAAAAACGTGAAGTTCGGATGGATTTTGTGTCACTTTTTGAACACACATAAACATGTCATATAATTAGCACCAGATTGATCCCTCTTGATGAATGATTAGATATGATTAGTAATAATGAGTAGTGCCCTCATCAAGAGAAAAGGTCAATACCCCCATGCTTATGGTATGTAAATGTATGGGTTTGTTTGAAAAGATGGTACCGGGTGTCGCAAAATCCTCACCATCACCATCACCATCATCATCATCATCATCAGCATCAGCATCATAACAAGGGCAAGTTTGAGTGTATCCCTGATATTCAACCAAATATGATTCTCACCAGATTCTCAATTCAAATGGCCCATGAACTGATGATATCCCCCATTTTCTCGGTTGTATTGTATATATTATATAATATTAAATTATTAAACATTCATATCTCCCATAGAAAATCTCATGAAACGCAAGGAATCCCATGGAATACCCAAGATGTTTACTCAAATTCACCACAAGTTCCACCATTTTTCAACCAGCACTTGCTCCTCAGCTGATCTCCACGAACTGCACTTGCACTGACCTCCAGGGTGGAGCCAAGGGTGGTGCCAAATTTGGACCCCCAAACCATCCCAAATTGGTGATTGTTAAGTATCCTTAGTAGGGAACTCCATGGTTTTGGTGGGGTATCTATCTACAGCAAGTTTGATATATACCCTTGATAAGTCTTGATATTAATATATATATATATATATGTACATATATATCATCAATATCAAAGGTGGGGTGGAGAACGATCAGTAATTATATCAGAATGTCTAGCAAGAATAATGGGGACGTTCAACCATCCGAACATGCAGAGAACTTGCAAGCCTCTAGTAACTCTAGTAGTCCTTGACGACTTTGGTCCCAGCTGTCTTCAAATCGAAGCATATCTTTGGGATATATCCAAAACTTGAGACCATCGCATTTAAACGCAGCACGAACTTGTCTTCATCCACTCATATCACTCTCCCCGAGTTGGGTAGAAAAATACCTGTTGTAAAATCCTGGGTCACGTCAAACACAAGTACGGGATCAGAGTCAGATCGGGATCAGAAAGGACGTCCATCTGTCTCACACTCAAGAGCTCTACGACTTGACATACAACTTGACACTCAAACCAATTTCCAGTCAGCCCGACTGAAACGCTTGCAGATTTGGATGCTCTTAATGAATCTTAGTGAACCATGTGAAACATACTCTAAACTGAGTTTATAAGGGCATCATGTCATGGCCTGCAGAGGTGCATCATTGACCATCTGGTTGCTCTCAGAGGGCAAACTCCTGGCCGATTGCCTGCGACTGTCGGGGAAGCGATTGTATTGATCCGGCAAAGAACGAGTTCCTTTAGGTACAAGTAGTACTGGTCTGGGCCTCACGTGCGCACACGTTTTTTGGCTCACGTGCGCACGCGCAAGAAGGCCTCACCTGAGCACGCGTTTTTGGTCTCACCCGCGCACGCGCAAGACGCGTTGTTAGTCTCACGCGCGCACGCGCACGAGTTTGTGGGGTGGGCCCCTGCGTTCCACTAAACCATTTTCTCCATTCTACTTCTTTATTTAAACTTACCCCCCCTGCGTTCCACAATACCATTGTCGAAAATTCTACTTCTTTATTTAAACTTACCCCCCCCTGCGTTCCACAATACCATTGTCTCCATTCTACTTCTCTATTTAAACTTCCCCCCCCCTGCGTTCCACTAAACCATTGTCTCCATTCTACTTCTTTATTTAAACTTACCCCCCCCTGCGTTCCACTAAACCATTGTCACCATTATACTTCTTTCCTGCGTTCCACTCAACCATTTTCTCCATTCTACTTCTTTATTTAAACTTAGCCCCCCCTGCG